CAGACAGCAGCAGAGCCAGACTCCAGCTTCCTACACCAACTGCCCTGCAATTACTTGCTGCCCCTAGATCTCTGTTCCCTGGGCTTTTCCATGATCTGGAAGCAATACACAAGCACTGGAGATAAGCCAGAGTGTGTCAGTCTGTTTCTTAGAGCTTGTCTGTAGGCTTCCATTTGACTTGCTTTGCAGGCAGCCTTTACCTTGCAGTCAGTGCATCTCTACCTCCCTTGGGCTCTGGGCTGGAAGCTCAGAGAATGGAATCTTTCCTTCTCTAGGTCCAAAAGTGTGACCTGAAAGGGGCTGGGGGTGAGGTGAGACTTGCAGTCTGGTCTGATTTATATTTTGTCTCTGTGGATAGCTTCCAGCCACATGTATTCCAAAAGACCCCCAAGGGCACATGGGATCCCAACCCTCCCCTATTTTCCAAATCATGTGTCCTATGGCTAAGTCTGTACCCAGCCCCAGGCTGGGGTCAAAGACATTTCAGGAAAATATGTTCAGGGCACACGAGTGCAGGTCTGGCACTCGATGTTTGTCAAACAAAAGTCTACATGACCCTGCCCAGCCTTCTCAGAACAGTGAGGAAATGGATAAATAAAAAAATTGTTAGCTGGGCGGTGGTGGCACACACCTTTAACCCCTTTAACCCCACTTGGGAGGCAGAGGCAGGAGGATCTCAGTTTGAGACCAGCCTGGTGTACATAGTGGGTTCCAGGACAGCCAGGGCTCCACACACAAACCCTGGCTCAAGAAAAAAAAAAAAAAAAATGCTGAAAGCTGGGGAGGAGGCTCTGTGGGTAAAGTGCTTGCTGGCCAAGCTTGAGGACCTGAGTTCAGATCCCCACACTTTATAAAAACAGGTGTGGCCATGTGTCCCTGTAACCCAGTCCATGAAGGTAGATTCCTGGAACTAGCTGGTTGGCCAGCCTACCCAGAACTGTGAGCTCCTGGTTCATTGAGGGCCCTGAAGGGAGAAGAGCAATTGAAGATATTCCCCACATCAACCTCTGGCCTCAAGTGCCCACATTGGTGAATACACCCACAAAAGCATGTACAAACCCATATACCTCAGGTACAAAATAATTGTCATGGGGCTGGTGGTGTAGCTCAGTAGTAGAGGACATATCTATCAAGATCAATTTCAGGACTGGAGAGAGGACTCGGTGGTTAGGAGCTCTAGCTGCTCTTCCAGAGGACCCACATGACAGCTCACAACTGTCTGCAACTCCAGTTCCAGGGGATCTGAGTCCCTCACACAGATGTACATGCAGGCAAAACATCAATGCACATAAAAAATAAATATTTTTTTAAAAAGCCCAGTTTCATCCCAGCACTGAAGGAGAAATAGTATTCACCTGCTACAGCGGGGGGTGGGGGGGGTGCCTTTAATCCCAACAATAAGGGAGGATGAAACAGGAGTTTGGGGTTTTTTGTTTTGTTGTTTTGTTTTTTGTTTTGTTTTGTTTTTTTGAGACAGGGTTTCTCTGTGGCTTTGAAGGCTGGAACTCGCTCAGTAGACCAGGCTGGCCTTGAACTCACAGAGATCTGTCTCTGCCTCCTGAGTACTGCGATTAAAGGCATGCACCACCACCATCCGTCGAAACAGGGATTTCGAGAACCAGAGATTCAGGGGCCTTCTAACTCTTCCAGGAAAAGGAAACCTTGACCTCTGTTTGTTTAACATAAGGGAAAGCTATCCTTCTCTGCACTCAAACCTCAAACCCTTCAACTCACATCCCATCCCCAGCCAAGGCAGGACCTAGCAGCCAGGATGCTTGCAGACATCAATTTGCCCAGCTTACCAGCTGGGAGCTGCAGAGAGGCAGAATCATGCCCTACAGTCTTTCCCAGGACAGGCAGCGCTCTGGGGCTGCTCCAGCTTCAGTCAGAGGGAACCGATGGAGAATACAAGGTAAGGGCTGGCAAAGGGAAACAGGAGCTGAGCCAGTAGTCAGAAACAGTAATACAAGCATGGAGTTGGCGTCATGCAGGCAAGAAGGTGGAGCGAGCCAGCTCCAGGCTCAGGCAGTGAAATTAGACAGGTGGGAGAAGAAGCCTAGAACACATGATTGTGGTCGTGCAGGATGGTGACAGAGCTAAAGGTCTGGATTATCATTCTTGGAGTCAAGGCCTCCTTCTGTCTATAGGTCTCTACTGCACTCAGGTGAGTGGCAATGTCAACCTAGCCAGAGTAGAGCAGCTTAAGAGTGTTCCCTAAGTCAGTGAAGGATTTCCAGTGATGCAAAAAACACATCCTTGTCAGGCAGTGGTGGTGAACGCCTTTAATCCCAGCCCTTGAGAGGCAAAGACAAGTGGATCTCAGTGAGTTTGAGGCCAATCTGGTGTATGTAGTAAGTTCCAGGACAGCCAGGACTGATACACAGAGAAATCCTGTCTCGAAAATCCCTACCAAAAAACAAACAAAAAAAAAACACCCCACATCCTTGACCACATAAAAAGACTATCAGATTAAGCCAGTATGAAGCAGAATTTGAGATCATTCAAAAACTGTCACTTTGGGGTCAGGATCTCATGATACAGACCTGGCTGTCTTAGAACTCAATATATGTAAAAGGCTGGCTTCAAACTCAGAGATTCACCTGCCTCTGCCTCTTGAGTGCTAGGATTAAAGGAGTGCACCATCACACCTAACCAAAGATTTTAAAAAACTTAATGTGTGTGGGTGTGGGTGTATGCCAGTGCATTCGAGTGTCCTGAGAAGCCAGAGGGGATGTTGGGTCCCCTGGAATTGCAGCTATAGACAGTGTGGCCATTGCTTAGAACTCTGGTCCTCTGCAAAAACAATAGTCTTAACTGCCAAACCATCTCCTGGATTCCAATGCCTGTTTTATTAAACATAGCAAACATCGATTAAGGAAAATTAAGAATGCACTCCCCAGAGTGGGAGTGGCTCTGAGAGAGGAATATCCAGCTTTTTCTTTTCTTTTGTTTTCTTTCTTTCTTTTTTTTGAGATAGGGTCTCACTAGTTAGGTCTGGCTAGCCTGGAACTCACTGTGTAGACCAGGCTGGACTTGAACCAGGCAGAACTTATCTGCCTGCCTCTGCTTCCCAGGTGCTAGAATTAAATGCATTTACCACCATGCCTAGCCCTGACCTTTTGAACATAAATCTTTTCTTCATCCCTCCCTCCCTCCTTCCCTCCCTCCCTTCCTCCCCTTTCTTTCATTTGTTTTTATCTTGTTTTGTTTTGTTTTTGAGGCAGGGTCACCTGTGTCCCAGGCTGTCTATGTACCTGAGAATGGCTTTGAACTTCTGATCCTACTGCCTTCACATTTTGAGTGCTGGTATTACCATGCCCAGTTTAAGCAGGGCTGGGGATGGAAGCCAAGGCTTCTCACATGCTGGGTAAAGACTGCCCACTCAGCTACAGCCTTTTAACATAGGTGTGAAGTGCTGGGTTAATAAAAAAAAAAATGTACTTGGGCAAAGTATAAGGTACACCGGATCAGGTGAGTATAGGCTTCTTAAAGAATGGTCACACTTAATTACCCTTTTCCTGAATTCAGATTTCAGAGTGGTTCCTGAGGTACCATGGATGAGATTACAATCTGATTATGATTAAAAAAAAAAAAACAGTCATTGTGGTGCATGTCTTTTAATCCCAAACTGGGGAGGCAGAGGCAGTCAGATCTCTGTAAATTGGAGCCAGTCTGGTCTACACAGTAAGGTCCAGGCCAGTCAGAGCTACACAAT